TCCCCCACTACCCCACTTAAATTATGCTTCCAACACGCCTGGGAAGAGAGAAAAAGTAACACGATCCTTTTCGAGAAATAAACTTCTCACGTGGAACTAGGAATCCAAGGTTTTATCGTTTTATATAAACCTTCATTACTTAATCATTACCTGAATGGAGTTCAACTGAGTCAAATAGCTCTCACTTGTTTCTCATAAACGTTAACTCTTGAAATAACAGCCTTGCCGTACAAGGGTAGAGAGAATTCGAAAACAATAAGGTGGTTATTAATCCCAATTTTTTAGTTTTAAAAAAGTATATTTATTTGCAAAATTAAAACTGTACATAAATGATATAAAATATAACATATTAACCTGCCTTACAACTCATGACTGAAGAAACAACATAAAACCGTAAGTGAACAACCCAATATTTTCATCTAATCTGAATTAATTTTGTTAACATCAGAGAGAGTTACGAGGCTCTCAATAAAATTACTTCTCGATTTCTTCCACACTATAGTATTCAGCAACTTGGGAACGCTATTTTGTTTGTGGGAACATCACTTGTGCTTTGCTTCATCCGTTCACTTTGAAAGAATACCCGGCAAGCATTGAGTGGTTAAACCAACAAAACCGATGTCTTGGTGGTCCCAAGTTTATATAAGATTGTACGACATAATCGTAATTCAACAGAGCAAACGTCTACAGCAAAAGTTTAACAAAAAAAGTCTACAAAGTGAGTCAGTTTTCAGCGGAAATGCAACTTAAAACTTTAAAGATTACAAATAAAAATTTAACAAGGGCATGTGTGGCTACAGTTACTCAATGGAACCGCACTTAAGATAAAGTGAAACGTAATAAGCCTTTTCAAAGATAATATTTACCTTTGAAACAGATGATATCGCGTTCTTTTCACAGGGAAGAAAAAGACATCACCGTAATCAACCGATGAACAAAGTGAATCTGACTTTCAGCCAGCGGCAGAATTTGATACCTCAAAGTTAAACTCACGCCCGACTTTTTTTACATTTTTTGTATGCCGTGTAATTTGAAAGGCAAAGTTACGCAAATGTTTCATCAGAACACCCACTTCTTGTCAGAATGCAATTATTTTTACAGAAAAGTGGAGGCCGTATAACTGCTGATAAACCGACAAAAATACTACCAATGGACTGATCTAAAGAATCAAAAACGCACCCTCTTGCCGTGTTTATGTCCCTCTTTGTAAGGACAACGTTATAAAAGCAAACACAGTGAAAAAACAATGCTAAAACACAGCGACACCAGAAGCTCCTAGTTGTTCACTACCAGTAGGCAGAAGTTGTAAACATACATATATTGGCAGCGCTAGAGTATTTAATACAACTGTGTGTTAATTTCAGTATTATATGTGAGTTTATATGCACAGTTATGACTATATTCCACCTCTTAAACTGACTCTTAGAGTGTGTAACATTATATAATGCGGTGCATTATACAGCAACCTCCGCCCACATATCTAAAAATCAGAAAGATCTACGATTTTAATAATAATAATTATTATAATAATAACCAGGTAATATTATATACATCCTGCCTATAGATATAACTGATGAACATAAAACAACTGTATTTATATCTGCTACAGTGACGCAACACAAACAGATAATGCAACGAATAATGGCGTATTTACAAATGAACTGTACAAATAAATACATATCATATCACAATAAGCAATACCTCTCAAATATTGCAATCATTCTCATAGTGAGGTCCACTTGGTTCCTATGACTTAGTTATGACGAATATGACGAACAGCGAACTCAACTAAAACTAGTCTATTCATATAGATAAAGATAAGTGCTAAACTTATATCTAGACGCACGCTGACTTGGGTAGGCCTTGGGTTATATCTCATATGGCAGCGTGGCGGGGTTTTAGAGATGTTTTTCCTGTACCACAACACAGAATATACGATCAACATGACACACAAATTCCAGATTAGATCGTCTGCAAGAGTTCTCGACAATGGCGCGGGGCTTTGTGCCACTGCCGCAACAGGGAGATGTTCATTTTTCTTTTACAATGATTCTATTGCACAAGGTGTAGTTTAGAAGTTCACAAGAATCTGGTTGTTTGGATAATCCTTGAATTCAATAAAAGCATTTCCTGTCTGCGGAGTTTACTCAATTTCAAGTCGGTATAGCCAAACAATATGGTAGCGACTTTTTATATTATTGATAATCAGAATCAGTGCGTGTTTCCGTTGCAAGCGTGTCAACCATAAACCATAACCTCGCACAGGATAGCGCTGAACAGTCTGCTCCATCTGTTAGGCACTCCCTGTGCCTCAATATACACATATCGACCTGTCATGGGTGACGAACAAGAAACATGGAGTTTTTCTTGATACAGTGCGTTGTTCACCTTTGAAATAAAACCACACATCTGCCCCGTTTTCTGAATATCATCCAGTTTTGGATTATTGTCCACGTAAACCAGTAACTTATCCAAATTGTACATGTAGTCCTTGAACGCTCCTTTATCTGCAAAAAAAGGGGGGAATTCATGAGGAGTGACATTATGATGAAGATAAATTGGAAATTTCTCATGTTGCTGTTTCTCAATTGCATCAAAATGTGCCATAATACAGAAGTAAAACCTCAAAGTAAACTGCTTAAAAAACAATCGAAATCTAATGATGAACGACACCCATTTAAATGTGTCGTAGAAGCGGTAATCACTTACACTGTATTGTAAATGTCACGTATTCAAAATAACATTCTTTACAATCAACATTCATTTTTTTTTTTTAGGTGGGTCTTTCAAACCTATTAATTCTAATCCTTGAGCAACTTGAATGCAACATGAAAATGATTTTATCATTTTTTTAATGTCCATTGATGGAATTTTTTAATTCTTTGTTGCCCGGGGAAGGTGTTTGAATAATGAATCACAAGCGCAGTCTTGCCCATACGCCTTTCATTCATCGTCCTACAATGAAGTATTCAGTGTAAGAAATACCTAATATTTACTTTGCCGTCCGGAAGTAGCCCGTAACTAATATGATTCGCCCTTTATAACGAAATAAATCTAGTGTTCAACTTAGCCCCGTTTTACCTTCCATAATTAATTTTGAATGACCCTTGGTGAATTTCTTGCTCATGACATCCAGTGCCTTGAAGGCAGGGTACACTGACACTGTAATTGATGATGTTATATTTGGAAAGAATATACCTTGAGGCAACAACTGTGGTCACAAACCTCACATGACGGCGATCATTAGCGAAAGTTAAAGAGACAAACGCCTCTGCATGCCTTTGCCTGAGTGTATGTGTGTGTGTGTGTGTGTGTGTGAGAGAGAGAGAGAGAGAGAGAGTGAGGGGGAAGAGAGGGAGACAACATACCTGGATCCTCCCCTTGCCACGTGATCAATATGGCCCCCGATATCTTTGTCTTGGCCCCAAGATCGACCATCATGATGGGGCTCTCCACGTAGAAGTTGTCCAGTATGGTGCAGCTGTGAATGCTGGACTCCAGGTGCCCGTCCACCACCTTCTTGGCATGTCCACCGTGTGTCCAGTGGTTCCGAATGTGGCGCTTGTAGTGGCGCTTGTTGTTGATCCAAGTGTCCTTTTTGTACGCCAGGTTTTCAACTGGTAAAATAAGTTGTTGTATTTACAACAATGAACTGCATTGCTTTATATTCCATTTTGTATAAGACATTCAATGGATTTTAAGACAATACTTCCATTTGCAATCTAAAATCTTAAAATAAAAAAAAAGAATAAAACATAGTAAACATCTCTTATAATTTGTAAGTACATTTGCAACAGCCATAAACATAGTACATCATAACCATTCTAAAGCGACACTTGACACCTATACCAACTTAAATAGGCGAGGCACGTTTTCCTTTGAGATATGGTCTATACTCAGGCATTATAAAAATTACAATTTAAGTGGCGACGTCGACTAACAACTAACCGAAAACGGCTCCTTGCAAGTACATAAGACAATGCAAAGCTGTTGAAATATTTGATATGGGATCGTAACACGGTGGTTATTTTGTAAAATGAATGGCTTAACTGTTTCATTCTTCATCTTAACGACCCACTAAGAGAGACAAAAATGTATGTTTGGTTTTAATGGCTCGTGCATGATGTTAGCCAATGTCATTCGATGGGGTTTGTGTTGTCTCCAGTACTCAATTTTTTTCGACTGATGGTATCACCCACGCGATAAAATACCCCACAATTTGATTTTAAGTACTGGCTTCAAAATGACACGAAGATTATATTTGACACATCTTTCACATCTTTTGGACAGTAATTGATACTGAAAAAGTATGTCCTTAGGGGTTCAAACATTTTTATTATTTCTGTAAGTCAAAAAATGTCCAGCATAATAATGACATGGCCGAATCTATGCATTTTCACCTATGAATTCCAGAACTAAAAATTACATTCAACAATGCAAAATGAAAAGTGTTCGTGTTAACTACCAGCCAAGGTTTTTTAAACTACAACAAGATGACAACAGTCTATTCTTTCTTGTCAGGTAACTTACCGCACGGAGTGTCGTTATTCACTCGGATAAAAGCCTCTCCACACTGACCTGCAAAAAAGATGGATAACACTGAGGTTTTTCCTAAAGCAATCATGATAAATCACTTCCCAGGAGCTAACAGAAGTGTCACTGTTTCTAGACTTGGAAACCATCCCGCGTGGCGAGGACACGACACAGAGCAAACGCCATAGCTTACGAGTGCAGATATATAAATTTTTCCTCAGCATTTCTGCCGTCATTCTGTTAAGCGTAAAAGATGGGGTGTTTTATGATATGACAACTATTGCTTTGAAGTGTGGGTCGCGACCGACGCTTGTCGTGCAACATGCACATAGCGAGGGAAGCTATTTGTCCTTTAAGAACTGCTGTCTTTTCCTGCATTCCTATCCATATTACTATTACAAACAGAGAGCTAAATCTACATTAAGCGATTGTAGTGTAAGTGCTTTTCTTATTATCTACGAGTACATCTGAAAACATTGGCATACCTTCGTAAGTCTCAATCTTTTTAAAGAAAGTGCGCAAAAAAAAGTCGATTACCAAAAAAAAAAAAAAGATTAATCCAAGGAACGAACTATTAGATAAGGAAATAGGAAGACTCACCTTTATGCGGGCACCCAATGAGCCCTACCCTCATAGCAATGTGGGAGTGCCAGGCCACAGGATGGATGCGGATGAAACGAGCACTGAAGGGATGGTTGAAGTAGTGGTACCGTTCCAAATCTTTATCACTATTCCCGCCAAATTCCTAAACAAATTAATCAAACATACACAATATTTATAAATGAATTCGGTGGATCCACCTGCTATCGAGACACTCATACATCGAATTAAGATGGGGGAATAAACTGTAGATAGTTTTTAAAAGAGAAACGAAGGCATAATAACTGTGAACACTTTCAAATATTTCAAAATGTTCTATCGGACTACTTGACTATAACGCTCTAGTTTTCTACATGTACCAATTAAGCCAATTAATTTTTTTTAATCAACATTATCATGCTATGTTATGTCCCTGCCATTTCTTTCACTCAAGCTACAGTTCTAGCGTCACACTATAGGCCTATGAAAGTTGAGGATGAAATAAAGGCGTGGTGAAAAAAAAACGCAAAGAACGTGCATACGCCACACGTAGTAGGCTAACTCACTAAGTGCAACAAGACTTACTTCACAACAGTGCAACATTTAAGATACAGCTTTTGAGATGGTTGATATCGCTGATCTGTGTACCCCCCCCCCCACCACCACCTTTCCACCCTGCAGAATGTTCCGAAATATGGCCCACCAGGGATGCCAAAGGAGAATGACCACGGTTTTTGCACACTTTGTTCTCTTTGTAATATAATGAATGACGTTTCTGTTCATTAAAATATCATTTTTATGAGTAAATTTTATAACTGGCTGCTGATTGCCAATATTGTTGATAATTTCGCTCGCGATATATCACCCATTTATGGCCAATTTCACGACTAAGAAAAACATTCTTAGTCAGTTCAGCGATATCATCATCAAAAGCATCTTCTATGCCTGGCTCCCCATAGAGTCTTACCATAGCCTCGGACGTTGGCCTGTTAGATGGAAGCACAGAGTTGGAGGAGGTAGATACGTAAGGGGTCGAGATTGAGGAGCGAGATGACGTCAGATTGTTGGAGGGCTGCTAGGAAGAGACAGGGAATCATGTATGATCGAGTCACACAGCAGTGGAAGGAAGACACACTCGCCTTAGGAGAAGGTACCCCCCCCCCCCCCGAAATGGCTCATGTTCTGAAGGCACTACAAAAATGACTTCTTTATGGTGCTGTCGGTTACTCTGACGTCCACGTCTTAAAAAACAAGCACCTGTCTGTAAAGCCGGACTTTCGAAAGGTTAAGCATGTTTTTGATGTTTTTTTGTTCATTTCCTTCTTTTTTCCCCCATATCATTACTACTTTTTTATTCAACGTATAGAAGAGCGAATGTGTCTTCTTAACAGAAAGGCAAAATATAACAAACCGAAGGATAGTCTCAGGACTGCTTTAAATATACGTTGCTCTAGCTTAAAATCTAGACTAAATCATCAGAAACTAAATGACTGCATCTAATTAGCTAATTCAAGAAAAACTAATTCTATATCCACCACCATACTGCATTCCGAAGACAAAACTGAAGAAAGAGGACTGCCAATAAAATGCGAAATGATATGCCCCATCATATAAAAAACTTTAGCGAAAAAAATCCGGACAATTCCAACTCCAAAAATAAAAAAGTAAGCAGAAGTCAAGAATGCGCATGCCGCCAAAGCCAGCACCCAAGCCTTTACCTTAAAGTCAAGATTGGAGGCATCCTTGTAGAAGGTCCAAGTCTTCGAATCGTTGCTGTAGGAGATCTTGAACTGGGTGACCCAGTGCTTCCGTCTCGTGTCCCCTCGCCCCTTGAGAACCACCCCAGTCACCGTGGTGGGTGGGCCCACGTCAAACTGTAACCATTGTTCAGCTGGAGATAAATAACAACAAAAGTCAATGACAACTGAGAAGGTTTCATGTCTTTGATCCTACTCATACCTTTTTATGTTGATCCATTTGAATGCCTGTGGCTTTATATAAGGCTTAACTGTGCGTTTTACTATTATAACCCTCAAGTTGACAAGAGTTGTTTTGGGTCTACAGAAATATAGAATGGTAATGACAGGACAAGCAGTACCCAAGTGTAAAATGTAAAAGATCGAAATAAACCCCGTCAATATCTTTTACAAATAGATATAATAACATTTGCCCCAGTGTTGCACTTGGGTGCACCTCGAGTGTTGAGTATATCTTGACTTCAAAATGAATCATGTAGCTGAGGACATTTAAATACGGTACTTCGAATTCAGTTTAAAAATATAGAGCATTTGGATTCTTATATCAATATGAACCGATTTTACAAAATGCAGATACTAAAAAAAAATTTTTGGTAATTCATCTCCCTGTGCCAACGGCCTACTGCTTTTGGAACATAAACTCCTATATTGTATGCTAGTATTCAGGATTTTTGCACCTTACTAGGCCATGGAAGAAATTAAGCCTAAAATCTATCATTTATAGTAGAGGACAAAGTGCAAAAATAAGGTTTTTTGTTACAGGTACATACCATCATTCTGTTTTGGACACCATGCATTGTTGCTAAAGATATGACCATCTTCCGGTTGACAGGACTTCCCTTTCTTGAAGTTCCACGTGTCAGAAGCAGTGATTTTACCATAAGGTGGAAGACCAATGAACTCTTTGCACTCTGTGAACAAATGGTATACAATTTTAATGTATAATAAAACCCTGAAAGGTAACTCCAAATTGACAATAACTGTAAGTAAAGGCAGGACAACAAAGAGGCGATTTCAATTTGGTTCGACAACGAGTTTGTCGAAAGGATACAGGTTTCATCCTAATTACCAGGTCAATTTTCTAGTCTGCTGATTACAAAAAACATTAATCCATGACATCGATAAGCAAAACTGGTTCTCAAACTGTAACAGAAAGGGAAAAGGAACAGTCCAAAAACAAAATCATATCACCATTGTTAACAACCCACAGGATCATTGATACCTAGACTTTATAATTAGTTAGACAAGAAATAATTCAGATAATGAACGGGACATTTTTGTCAAATTGGAGACGGTCTGCTGAATATTAAGGAGACACGGCCTGGCATCGTGTGTCACTATCACCTTAAGGGCACCTCGTGGCGTCCTTTTTTATCCTCATCAATACCAGTTAAATAAAGCTATTTACTGCTCATCCCTGCGTCTCTGCATAGACAACATTGCGTGCAGACGAATCCGCGCGGAGGTCTGCTAAAGAAATATTGACACTGTTTTTCCATTGGGTGAATGTCAATATTTGAGCCAGTTAGCATTGCAAAAGTCAGTATTTTACACTTGTTATTTGAATTGCTACCCTCTTTCATCTTTCAGTTTTGTTTGCTTTGTAGTGAATAGCAAAATCTGAACTCTATACGCGGTCTCTAATTAGTCTGAACACAGTGGTGGAGCGTTCTTTACACTTCTTTTTGGAGCAGTCTTTTATATCAGAAACTTATTTAATGCTTAAATGACAATTTGCCTATATAGGTGCACAGTGGTACGTGCAATAACTAAGGAAAACGTAACCATTTCGTTGATAAAGTGGGATAGCGGCAAACCTAAAGCTCATGAAATTCAATGCAAATCAAGGTGTCGTCATGTGATTGAAGCAGAACTACATCTGGAAGCGTGACGCCAACAATAGCTCCATTCATTCGATTTGGCACTTTGGTAGTTGACAAGGCTTAGTGGTAGACAGATAGCAAACGTCAGACCTACTTGTCAAAGCGACGAACAGTGTCGTCTGTTTAACTTATATCACTAATATTTGTTGGAGGTCGTGTTATCATCAATAAAAACTGATCGGTGACATGAACCATACACAAATTGTATGTATCAAAATATCCCTACAGTTATCATAACAATTCTTTATTTACAATGAAAAATAAACTAGACAATCGAAATACAAATATGCCTCATTTAGATTTTAGTGTCATGTTGAATTACTGGCTGGGTAGTTTATTGCCTTACCTTGGCATCCAAGAATTTCTACCCTCATGCTGGGGTGTTTATGCCACTGTACGGTATGGAACTTGACGAAGCGGGCCATGAGGGGTTGGTCCAGATAAGAGTGCTTCACTGAATACCCGTCATTATTACCGTCAAATACCTAGAATAACAGGGGAAAAAAGAAAGTTCAGATTTGGTGAAAAACATTGTTTAAAAACCCGGCGTTTGAAAAAAAGGAGGAAATAGAATGTCACTTTTTGGCAATCATTGCTCTGTCATTTGCACTCTCTCAAATGGTTCGCAGTTCAACATTTCTGTCATGACACAAATTCAGTTAGTCAGGCAGTTTAATCACGACAATTCAACATTGGGTAACAAAAAAATCAAGTTCGCTGCCTCACGCATAGATTTCACACACAGCAAAAAAGAAACAGTTTAGGCGGAATAGTCGCAATCTATTAACGCAGTGTTGCGATTCTTTGTGGTGAAGCCCCGAGGGCTGAGTGCATCAAAGACATAAAGGAATTCTTGCCCAAACAACGCCTTCTTCTTGGTGCTAAAGGGTACATCCCTAAAAACAACCACCTGTGGCGCAAATTGTTGATTATTGTTCTTGGATACGCAGTCCATCTGCCAAGCTTTCTTTATAACTAATTTCAGAGCATGCAATATACAGTGCTCGTTAAAGAAACCGCGTTATTACTGGTACTAATCTCACTTACGCTAACATTTACCTTAGGGCTATTGCTGTTACATACTGGCACTGGTTTTTTGACCGACCCAGAACAAGGTAAATATGTTCTTTTTATCGTGTGCCATGTATGTACCATAATTATGTAACAAGTACGGTACGCAAAGGATGGATTTACCACAAAAATCTCAAGCTTAAAATCTCCGATCCTGAATGAAAATTGAATATGTAAACTCAACATTTTCATTGTTCAGATACATCCGAAAATGATTATTTCTCCGACACACGAATTTGTATACTTAACCAACATTTTTATTCACAAGAAATATATAAAATAAAAGTTTTCTGGCTTTAAATTTTGGGATTCTAAAACGATAACACGGTAAAGCTGCCGGACATAATGCTTACTTAAACAACTCCTTGCCAACAAAAACTGTCTTAACAAGGACAACAGCCCCGGTCCGTGCAACTATGGGGCCACAAACACCTGGCTCATAATGGATGACTAAAGTCTCCTCACACTCACCACTCCTCTTCTGCCCATACGGCAATGCAATTTGGCAAGACTTTAAAGAGGAGAGCTTTACATTATCAATGGCATGACCATTTGCTTGCCTTGAATATTTAGGAGTCTCTAGGTTAAATGCAACACGGGAAGTTACCACTTAACAAGCCGGTGCACCCTTCAACAGGGCTGCAATATCTTTTGATTCTGTAATTAATTTATTTTTTGCGCGATGCTTTTCTCCTTACACAATTTGTCTGAGTCTCAACCAAACGCGCTGCAATTTCTGATATTTCCTATCGATCGCGTCTGTCTCGGTTTTGAATTGAATTGAATATGACAATCCCGTCACTTTAACAAAATTACCTTTCAAAGTATCAGTCGGCTCTAGACCTCCCCAAATGATATCGAGCCAACGGAAATTATCAAAACACCCCCAAAAGACGTCGATACCAACTCGAGCTCCCAGACTCTCTGGGGGTATCACACAGGATTTTGTTTGGAAAGAAGTATATAAGTTGATTTAAGTAGTCAAGGGATGAAAAAGTGTATCAAATAAAGTCTCCGGTCTCTCCATCATTCAATTTTCAGGATAGCGTTATTTGACGATATAAAAAGTAGTTTCTGCCTGCTTATCTTATCGTTTATCTCGTCAGCCCACTTAATGGAATCTTAGTAGCATTTTGAAAACGACTATTTGCATTAGATTTTCCCATGAAAGGGGAATAATCTCAAATAGCTATCAGTAAAAAGCTAAGACCACGGCTTGATCAAAAGGTTAAGCTTAATAACATAATGTAAAAAGGCAATTACCACTGGGATACTGTAAAAACTGCAATAATTTGAAAATCCTCAAACATTCTAATTTAACCTCACATTGAACGTTCTCAGACCAATAAACGGTAGACTTTCTTTGAAAACATTTAGACCTGTCAAAAGGGATGCCCACGGATTAATCTACATGGATCAGATTGATTGCAACGGCCGATTATTTTTTTTATAAGAAGGTGTGGGAGTAACTTAATTCTCTAGGGCACATCAGAAACCAGAGCTCATTGCAAGCCATTTCCTACAATCAGTTTCAATAAGCAGCAATCTTAATGTTTGTTCACAGTGCGCCAACAGCGCGTAGACACCAATGGGACTACGAAACGGCGTCACGTACATAATGTCATGGGCTTCACTTGTAATCTAGAATTCTTGGCAATCTGATGGTGAAAGCTTTATTAATATCTACCCAAGTGTCATGGGTGATCGCTGGAGGGTAGAATCCCACACAGATGCGCTGATACATTTTGCAAAGGTAGCAACAATAACATCCCTAATTACCGTGCTAAATAATTTTAACATGAGTTGTGGTCAAAAAGCCTCTGACATGGGAATTCGTGAGATTTTCTAAGAGTGAATACACAACTGCTGTGCTCTCTATTGCTTGATGGAATCATTGACGATCTTTGTTTTGCAAGAAATGTAGGTATCTTTCAAACAGAAGACAGCTGCACCAAAAAACACCTAACGTACAACAACAAACATAAAACATTTCATATGATTATTTGAAATGCGCCTGAACCTGTTCCATTTTCCCACGTCAGAGAGGTCGCATGTGCAGAACGCCATTCATGCATTCCTCCTGCACCAGCGCTGCCACAAGTTCAATGCCGTATATCCAGATCTATCCTGAGTTTTAAAAAAATGGAAACTCCCCTCTCTACTATACAAGGACTACAGTATTAGTATGAGAGGCGAGTGTTTCCAGTGTCGTCTTAAACACAGGGTGGTGCCATGTCACTCACGCCCTTACCCTTTGGTTGCCGTACTGGTCCCCAACATACTTCCAGTTGAACGCGTCCATACTGTAGGACACCATGAATTTCGTCACCCATTCCACGCCGTCTGCACGACCTTGGGTCATCACCCCGGTGATCTGAAATAACAAATATTGCTTAATCTAATACTTTATAATAAATATATAACGCAAAGGCTAAAAGTCGCTTCAATCATAAGTATACAACAGGCAGGTTCAGTGTGATATTTGATCCCTTTCTCTCACGATTTTTTTTCTGGCATTGATTTTTTTCGAAGATGAAATATTGATTATGACATAAATATGCGAATTGTAAGGGAAGAAGGTAAAGAAGCATTGTTTCAAGTTGTAACAAAATACCACTGCATAGCAAACCCCGACAGGATATGACTTTTAAAAAGTCCAATACTAATCACCTGTCAAATGGAATACAGGCTATCCTTGACTTTGACTATATTTTGATGGCAGGCAAAGCACTCACTTGAAAAAATCTTACTTTGAAAGGCGTTAATGAGAATAAAAGTTTAAATGTTCACTACCCATTGTAGCGTTCATACACACTTTGTACCACTTACAGAGTAATTTAGTGATAAAAAACGAGTTGTTAGAATATTTTAGCTTTAGGATTCAAAGTCTGTAATTCTGAAATTGCTATGTGTCAATTTATTGAAGTACTCTCGCGATGACAGAGCAGCTACGAGTTGGTCAAACAAAGGGTTAGTATTCTTATAACCATCAGCTATGGGAGGGACTTAGTCATAAACTCAGATGAGTTCTGTCCACTTTTTTAGTTTCATATGGAAATCAGTCCTGAGGATTATTTCAGTATTGTCGTCTGTATTGTGAAAATCAGTCCGAGGCGCCATGAACGTCTTATCACCAAGATCTGGTCATTTGGTCATAAGCTAATGTCAAGGGTCAGCTAAATGTTCTGGGCGTCAAATTTCAGCGTCTCAATTGAGTAATTCACAGTAGCTTTCCATCTAAATAAAATGAGCAGAAAGAGAAAGGTGCCTTTAAAAAGTATATCGGGTTTTTAGATTAACGTTCCAATCCCATTGACAGGCGTTTCTATTTCTATTTCTATTGATTCCCATGCATTTTGAGCGTTGTGCCGACTGATCGGTCAATATGAAATTCCAGTATTGGGAGACGTTAGCTGAATTCTCTAAATGTTATTACCGTTAATTTCCTGGTGGAACATCTACGTCTAAGTTTCATATTTCTCGATATAACTTGATAAATTAGACTCAATGAACGCACAGGATAGGTTACCAACTGGACCCTTGAGAAAACAATTCCAAAAACGCTTCTGCGGAATATTGCAAAAACATTTAAATGCGCATTACCGAAAACAACCCATTTGTAGCAAAGAGGCATTGGGGCACACAGGAGACATTTGTTTGACATATCTCGATTGAAAGTCTCATTACTTTACGTTGATTACGATGTATATTACGTCAGCTGGTTAAAAAACAATCCTTTGGAGTCAATGTGCGTTAATGGGGACCAATAAAGCTGCAAATGTTCCAAATTGGCCAGGGACATGAACTACAAATGGAAGATAAAATGAGCTTTTTTTCAGGAGGAAAGGGGTGGAGGGGGAGGGAAAGACTGATTGATTGGTACATTGGTTCAGAAGAAGCTTTAATTCACTAGCTTGCTTCGTGTTGTTCACTGATACCACGAGATCGTTAAGAGATTACAAAGACCTCATTTTAAAATTTCTACAAAAACGATTCATTGGTTTAAAAGAAACTTTATTTCACTAGTTTTCTTCATTTTGTTCACTGATACCACGAGGTCGTGAAAGAGATTACAAAGACGTCGTTTGAAATTTCTACAAAACGCTTCCCGCTTTGCATCAATATTTACGAGGTCGTTAACCAATAACGGTGCCCGTCTTGTCCGACATAAAGCCACTTAGCAATCTACTTTGTCCACCCTCTTGAAATGTCAGATATAGTAACCAATAAAATTGTCAAATCTGATTTCCTTTCACGGTCGTATCTATCGCCTAAACGTTACCTAGGTGGTCCCGCCATGAGGAACGCACAGACGCCGACCGAAACTCAGTTTTTCCCTCCATTGTGTCTTCGAAATTCAGTATTTTGATGCAAAAATGCCACTGCTCCTGCGTTTCTTTGTCGCCATCTGTTTAGGAGTGTGTAATGTCAAGAAGGCTTGACGTTGAACTAGTGGCGCTATCAAATTTCAGCACCCAAGGAAAATGCCAGAGGGCTGAACATCGCACAGGAGCAGCGGCAGATATTAACGGCACGTGCACACCTTTCAGCACTTTTAAGTGCATGATGTGAGGATAGAAGCAGCACGGAATATTAACATGATTAAGTCCCCCCCTCCTTTTCCCTCCACAAATTAATCTCGGATAAGCTATCAATCATAAGCTCCCGTACTATCGCGTCCTCCGTCGCTTGGATCCCCAGTTATGAATTAATCGGCAAACAAACGAGCAAAGGTTACTCTAAACTAAACTCGCTTTCTTGATAATTGGGCTCCAATAAGTACATTTTGTTACGCAAACCTATCAGGTGTCAAAGAGTGAGGTTACTGGAATACGCAGATTCAGTAGTAACAACCCCACCCCCTTCAAAAAATGAATGGATGAAATTAAAGACATGAAATAATAACGCAGGCAGTCTCACATTTGGGGTACAGTAGGTGCATATGAGAGGAAAGTGATCCGATGACAGAGTAAATCCTGAAATTCAAAGTAACGCTCAAAATAAAATTCAGAGACGACACCGAAGACCCAGCATACACAGAACGTTTTATAAAGTTGCCATAACGTCATCACAACGTTTTATTTTTTAATATATTTTCATAATGGCAACGTTAAGTTATTATGACGTTCTGTGTTTGTTGGGGATGAGCATCAATTTCCCCAAAGATGATAGTCAGGTTGACACACGGCTCAAGTCTCGACTCACCTTGGCAACAGTGCCGAGGTCCACCTGTAACCACTCCGAGGTGGACTTGTACTTGGCGCACCAGCCGCGCCCGTTGGGTTGATACAGGCGCGCGTATTTCTCGTGGCAGCCCTTATCCCACTCCTGTGGGTAGGAGCTGGAGGCGGTGATCTGCCAGTCTTGGATAGAGCCAGTGATCATCCCCAATGGGCCATGGTGGTCACAGCCTGCTGAAAGATGAACAAAGAAAAACACATTTTATGTATTATGTTTGTATGTATACGCTAGGTTCCAGGACACTTATGTTGGATCCTAGATGTAGGCAAAATGTTTTTTTTTCGAATCTGCCTATGGAAGCACTCAAGGGTGGGGGTCGGGGGTGGCCATACTGGGCACCTGCCCTTGCCTTGACTTCTGAGGTACCTCCTTCTCCCCTTTCCCCAATCCATCCAAATAAAATACAAGCAATTCTGCCATCCCCATACTTTATTGGTCTTATATATTATAGTAATAATAATAATAATAAATGTCCTCGCCTATAGTGTGTCGTACGATGGGAGGCAAAACTTTTTATCTTTGTGTAACCCCAAGTCCCCCCCCCCTCCAGCACCACCACCACCACCACCACCACCACCACCCACCCACCCCATTAGCAAAAGCCTGGACCCGACCTTGCTCACGTGAAGCACGGGGGTTTTAGGAATGCTGTTCAGGTGTGCTATCCACCAGGGCAGACACCTGCGGAAATGCATTCTATATATATTTTCAACCCAAAAAGACAAGTGGATAAAAGGTTGCTCTTATCAAGAAGTGCACAACAAATCTTATATATATTGCCTTTCTGTCGGCGCCCCTTTTGATGTCTGGCTCCTACTTTTCAGAACAACAGACCAACAGTGACAAGCTATATATCCATCTATATTTCTCTGCAGAATTGTGTGTACGCGAGAAGTAATTTCCACTCTAAATCACTCATTAAATTTGTCACCCCTTTCAAACGTTAAAGTAAACAGCACTGAATGCAGTACAATACAAAGAAAGGCGGAAAGGTATATTGCTTGTGTAATACACAAAATCAAGCAATAACGACTTTAGTTGTTTGGAAGAGAATGCAAAGATGCGATTTCGTGACTCAATGCTAATCTTAAGCAGTTTTCGACGAACTGTAAAATATCTCTTTGAACAACCAAACTAGAGGGGCTAACGAAATGACCAGGCGTGTTTCGGTGACTAAGTCGAGCATACCTTGGTTTATATAGAACAATGAGGGCGCAATGAGGTGGTATAACAATACTTAAACTTGATGATATTTTGCAAATTCGAGTCATTGCATCGTCAAGTGAAAAACACAAACAAGAACGGCCACCGCGAAGTAGGAAAGGGCCTACGCAGTTTTCCTGCGAGAGGAATCATAAACTAAGAATACCTTTCGTTGCTTTCGCTGAATAGCTTTACTTTTTACACCTTACATGCCGTTTCCTGTTTGCAATTTTTCGCTCACTCCTACATCCCATCCCAACTTAAAGAACAGATGATACAATTATCTTAAATCACAGATTAAGTGGCTAGTATTAAATCAAAATAAGTGGTAAAGGTGACTTGATATTACGGAGGAGCAAACATTGCTGTATCAGTTAAATTGCTACCGTTATGTGGATTACATCTATAAATTAAAGCTTTGGTGTGCAACTTATTGGAATTTTTCACAATTCCCATAAATCAGGAGAGAAAATGCGAAGTACACGAGGGGTAAAGGTCTCCCTTTTTGAATAAAAATATTCACAAAAAGATTAACTTGTTACTCGTTACGTGTATGAACTTTTTATGTGTTACGTATGTTATCTCAGAAGTTGAAGGCATTGTGAACTTGCAGATCGTGCTTACTTGAACAAAAAAATTCGCAAGTAGGCGCACCATATCATTAAACGTGTTGATTTACAATCGGTTCGTCTATCTTGTGTGTTATCTTAATCTTTAACCACACATATGTATGAATCCAAATGTTCTGGAATGATAAATAATGGGTGTCTGACAAATAAACATAATATGTGGTTGGGAAAAAATTTACTCACCCTCCAGGCTCATGATTCCGCCTAAGAGAAGCACACCAACTAGATACAACTTCGCCATCTGCCTTGTCATCTGAAATAAGAGAGAAGTTCTACTGTATAGGATGATAGGAAACAACAAGGTCGTGTACACAGAACAACAAGGAGAAGAGAGAGGAACTGTACACCGCTCTTTTATGAACACTCTTTCATCACGGAGCGTCGATCTACAACAAAGACAAACCTGAGACAATATAAACCCAAACACTATTCCTATCTGTCAAATCGCAGTCAACAAACTTCCATGGTGGCCCCTATTGGATATTTCGACTTTTCGACTTTTAGAGTTTGCGACTTTTAGAGTTTTCGACTTTTAGAGTTTGCGACTTTTCGAGTTTTCGACTTTTCGAGTTTGCGACTTTTAGAGTTTTCNCCGTTATTAAATACTGTAATTAGCAAACTGCTCTCCTCTGTGTCTGATACGAATGAGGGCGGAGCTGTGACTATTTCCTTACACCCCCGTGAAAACTTCAGTCACCTCCCAACTGTGCCCCCTTTCAGGGCCAGGCTAGTTGAGGCGTTCTCATTGATCAAAATGATCGCCAGCAAGCAGAATTTGTCATAAATTTCATGATGTCAAGAATTCAAAAAGATAAAACCGAGATGTTAGCAGCAATTCGAGTGATCCGTCCTGCTCCTTTTCGCGTTCCATTGCTAAAGTTAAATTACGGAATGAAAACATATCAGTTTCCCCCTTCATAAAACAGATGTATGGAGGTTTAGGTATACTTTTCAACGTTGTTGACCTGTTAATTTATTATGGATGCTCCAAAAGACTGCAAAGGGAAACTTTTATACCAATGTTACAATGACATGAAAGGAGAAATCAAACAAAAAGAAGGCGAAAGAAAATGGTGCTGAATAGGCCAATATTGTAAAATCAACGTAAAAGTATTTGCTATAGATGCCGCACCTCAGATGTTGGCTTTGATATAAAGTTTGCTGACATCTTGGGTGAAGTATTTTATTCGATGAAATAAAAGGTCTGAACTTTGTCGAGAGCACGTCCCTAAACTGTTAGGAGAACTGTTAAGCATTTTGTTGCGTATTTCCTACGTGGATTCCCTTTGTTCGGGCAAGGGACCGGTATCGGTAATTTTCGTCTCACTACACATCAACAGCGTTTACCTCACGCCCCATGAAGTCGCCACACACTTTGCCGGGGAGCTCCTCATTAGCAGATATAGTATTCTTTTTAGAAACGCGCTTGCGAATTGTTGTATGGAAATGCAATAGCAGCGTCTACCCCATTAGGCCCGCGTGTGAAAATCAATATCTCCGATAAAAAATCGAAACCTTAAAAATAAAATGTTAAATTTTTCAAGTTGAAGTTGTTGGTCGATTTCTGGTGCAAACTATACATGAAACAAACACGCCAACAATACCGAAATAAAAGTCATCAAATGTAATTTTATAAATTCGTGTCTCAAGTCATGATAATAAACCGCTTTTATGTCGTTCCTTAACTGCTATAAAATGATATTCAAAGAATGTTTATAAATGACAACCAGCAACATGCAATGTTAAAGAAAATTGCTTACTTTCTCCCTCTTATGCGTCTTTCCTATTAGTATTTCCTGGTTATACTGTGCCTTGGATAAAACTCGTTTGCTATTTTGCAACAGGGCCTCCTTATACAACGTCTACTCGATCTGCCATGGTCGCTCAAATGACGGCACAAATCAAATCGAGATACTTTTCATACCCCGTGCCGCTAAAAAAACGATTGGCGAGTAACTCGAGGGTAAAGAGTGATTAATTCAGCCAGATCTTCCAGTCAAAAGCTCCCCAAAGGCGCAATGCTATCCAATCACCTTCCAGATACCCAAGGAACAATAATCCGTAGTGACAGTCGAACAAAACACCCCATACACCGATAAATTCAACTACTTGGCTACTTTTTAAGGCAATTGAAATATTTAGTAAACATATCTTAATGGGGAATGACATGATTTCATAATAGCCAGGAAGGCTTACCGCAGAAAGTTGATTTTTCTTCAGCTAAAGAATAGATTGTGTTGATTTAAAACGAATTCTTTCTACATCGACGTTTTCACTCTTACAATCGGGATACGTTTCTGGTTAATTACGTTATATTTAATTTGTTCTAGTCTACTAGGTCAATTTTACCTGTTATAATCGATTATTCGTTCGTATCAACCGTTTTCGAGGACAACTAGGGAAAAAATTAATCTTGGTAGGGGCCTGGGAGACGCGTATTAGTTTCAGTTCCCCTCTCTTGGATATAATTCCTGACATCGAGAGTGGATGGTACATATAAAGGATTTCCCCTTTTTTCTCAAGTCTTTCTCTTTCCTCTCTTTTCTCCTGCTTTCTTGCGCTTTTTTCAACCCATTTAAATCAATCTATTTACTTCATCCACAACTTCCAGTAACCACGTGTAGTTACTCTATCAATCTTAACACGCCCTCGAATTTTTTCCTTAAACGTTTCAATCGATCAGCCAATCTAAATGTTTTCTCGGAACGTATTAAGTTGGAAAGTGAAAACGCACTCTAGACGCATTAGATACATAACACTGTGCATAATAACTCTCAAAACCTCATAGATATCGAATCAAGTCTGTAATCATACTCATCATCAGCCTGCTGACGCATATTTTGCACTTGAAATATTTCCTTTGATCTTTTAAAAAACGAGTGCTTCGGACAGTCATCGTTCATCTGCACTGGGAATGCAACATAAGTGCAGAACTTTTTTAGTTCTCTCTTTTCTTTTTTGTAACATGTTCTACTTTAAAGGCTACGATTTACATTTGAAGCTAAAATCTATTTTGGGTTTACCTTTCTTCGTTTTACAACTGAATGTTGCGCTCTCGAAAAAAAAATGAAACCTGAATTTACTTCACCTAAATGTCCGATGTAATTGTACCGTCTCAAAATTATGGGTTTCAATTTCTTTTAGCTAATTACAGAAATTGCCGAGCACGACATTTGATAACTTTGAAGCTAAAAACTACAGAGGAATTACGGCATCGACATTTGCTCTCATTTGATACTATGCCTCTCTAAAGCCTTGTTCAGTGCGGTAAAGGGAACATTTTTTACAAATGTCTTTTGATGACTAGGTTCTTTTTTAAATGATAAAATACACCCATGCAGGTGGCTATGTAAATACAAATAATTAAGAATGTCACAAGGTCGTTAAAGATCTGTTTTTGTCCAACAAAACATGGAAAACACTGACAGTGACTATTCATAGTCCACACACGCAAAGCGGCACCTGTGGGACTGGGGCTCGAAAATTGGTTCTCAAAAATGCAACTCTCATGTTTTCAAGAGATTATTTTTTAAAGTTAATTAACTGCGGGGAGTTTTACCCGGAGCGAAATGTACTTCATTTCCTGTAGTTATGTTCTGAAGTAAAAGTGTATTTACTCGATTTTTGTGAGAAAGTTACTATACAGCTTGTGTAGAAAGCTTATTCTCATAGGTCCATGTTTTGATTGATTGTTGCATCCATCGATATTGCTCACACATACACACACACACACAGAGAGAGAGAGAGAGAGAGAGAGAGAGAGAGAGATGGTTGGTTTTCCACAATTGAATAATATATCGTAGAATACCGGTAGGGTCACTTGAATGCGTACTCAGTCGCATCATGACTGACAACTCATCCCTACATAACGCAGATGAGTCTGTCATCGCCTACGTAAACTTGGCAAAATACGACAAATGTGGACACCCGATCCGAACAATCTCCCCCGCCACACAATCACTCCAATTCCACTTGAAGGAGATTTTCATCCATCGATGTAAAGGCTATTATCACGGGGGTGTGAAGAGCAGGTGAACGAAAATGATCCCTCAATATCACGGGATATCAGAGTGAGCGCCAATAGCTTGGGTGTCGTTTAATTGGATTATCAAGGCTGTAGTGGAGACAATACAGACCCCAAACTGCTGATGGAAGGATACGGTGTATCAATTTAATCTAACTTCACGTGAGATTAGATTGTCTGCCTGTTTGCCTATTAGATTAATATACTTTAAAAGGACCTTTTCACACTCTGTCTATTCCATCGTTGTTGAAAAGCGACTAAGCTCTGGGTATTAGTTGAGCAGCAGTTAGTGTGGACCATGGATTAGGAGCTACATACTCTGGATACCTAGAGATGAATGGGTCTCACTTTTGAGGCAACATCATTACTACACTCATAATTTATACTGAAATGAGGGAGTGGTGACACGCAGGAAAAAAATCACACAAATCTAAGGGAATTAGTGTCAAAGCGTGTTTTGATGGAAAGAGACTAATAATACCAATAGAATACACATAACGTGATTCATGCTACCATTTCAAAGAGGTGTCTAATACCGTCATAAGCGCATATTTCACGGATATGTTAAGAATTGACATAAATGTGTCTCGCAGCACAGAAAAAAGACCCGCTCTGACACCAAATAGCAGCCACCTGTTGTGACACAGGTGTAAGTGCTCCTTGGCACGCTGACATTCTAGCATAAATATATCAAAGGTGTTTCGCATCATCTTTGAGGAACTGATTTCGCGAGTTTCCTGTTGGATCTATCTGGCATTTAACATGAGAAATCCCCTGGGAGAAATACACTCGTCCTCCTTGATATAATACTCAAAGATTGCAAAAAAAAAAAAACTGTCTCCTCCGATATACATGTGTTGGCTGTGAAAATATATGTTACTTCACATCTACTTTCAATTCTTGCTAATTCAACGAACATTAAACATGTTGTTTCTATTATTGATACGTATCGGTAAGCATTTTGTTTGGGAATGTCCCTGGATTCGGGGGATCAGAATGCTTGAAGCGATTTGTTGAATGATATTGATATTATATTTGCATTTAGTTATTATGAGAATTTAAAATTTAAACCGTCGTATATGGTGCCACCAGTTATCAATATCATGCTCCTGTTTTTCCACAACAATGTTGAACATCATACATTTTTTAGAAATACAAACAGAATTGCACGTCTCAATGTATTGTTTTGTAAACATCTGATATGTAAGAACATTTTTTCTTCAAATAGT